CATGGAGACCACCAGCCAACCTGAAACCAGCAAGCTCACAGAGGTGACCCCATCAACTCTTTCCTCCTCCACAACTGGACCCATGTTGACTCAGACAGTTTCTCAGGGCACTTCACATCCAGGTGAAACCACCACCTTCTTCCCTTCCAGTGTCAGCAACATTATGTCCCCAGCCACATCAGAAGTGGTCATTCCAACAACCTCCACAGACTCCTATCTAGGGAATACACTGCACACATCCCCAATGGTTACTCAAAGATTTACACTGGTTACCACTGGAGTCTCCATGGCAACATTACCAAATGATTTGTCAGCAATGCCAATATTCAACACCTCTACTCAGGAATCATCAGCATTTCCCCAGAACCAACACACCACAAGTTTGGAGACCACCAGCCAACATGAAACCAGCACACTCACAGCGGTAACCACGTCAACTCTTTCCTCTACCACAACTGGACCCACTCTGACACACACAGTTTCTCAACAGACTTCATCTCCCGATGGAACAACCACCCCACCTGATTCCAGTGTCAGCAGCACACCCCCACCCACATCAGAGGTGCTCATTTCAACACCCTCCACACACTCGACTCAGGGTAACACAGGGAACACAATTTCCATGATTACTGAAAGAGCCATACTAATCACTACAGGAGTCCCAATACCAGCTTCACCAAATGAACTCTCAATGGTGACAACACCCAGAACTTCTACTCAGGAATCATCAACAGTTCCTCAGAACCAACACACTGAAAACATACAGACCACCAGCAGTCCCCAAAGCAGCACCCCCACAGAGGCCACCACCTCCACTCTTTCCTCCTCCTCAAGTGGACTCCTTCTGACACACACCGTGTCTCAGGGGATGTCATCTCCAGGTGAAACAACCACCCCATTAACTTCCAATGTCAACAACACCCCCCCATCCACATCAGAAGTCTTCTCCACAACACCCTCCACACACTCCACTCAGGGAAACATGCTCTACACATCACCAATTGTTACTCAAAGTTCTACACTAATCAACACAGGAGTTTCCATGACAACTTCACCAGATGAACTCTCAAAGGTGACAACACCCAGCACCAGCACGTATACTCAAGAATCACCATCATTTTCTCAGAATCAAAACACCGCAAACATAGAGACCACCAGCCAACCTGAAACCAGCAAGCTCACAGAAGTGACCACATCAATTCCTTCCTCTTCTACAACTGGACCCATGTTGACTCAGACAGTTTCTCAGGGCACTTCACATCCAGGTGAAACCACCACCTTCTTCCCTTCCAGTGTCAGCAACATTATGTCCCCAGCCACATCAGAAGTGGTCATTCCAACAACCTCCACAGACTCCTATCTAGGGAATACACTGCATACATCCCCAATGGTTAATCAAAGGTCTACACCAGTTACTGCTGGCGAATTCATGACAACTTCACCAAATGATCTGTCAGCAGTGTCAACACTCAGGACCTCTACTCAGGAATCATCAGCATTTCCCCAGAACCAAGATGCCACAGGCATGGAGACCACTGGCCAACATGACACCAGCACCCTCACAGAGGTAACCACGTCAACTCTTTCCTTCTCCCCAACTAAACCCACTCTAACACAGACAGTTTCTCAGGGGACATCTTCTCTGGATGAAACAACTACCCAATTTGCTTCTAGTGTCAGAAACACACCCCCAAGTACTTCAGAGGTACGTGTCACAACACCCTCCACAGATTCCACTCCAGGAACCCCAGGGCACATATCACCCATAGTTACTCAAAGTTCTACTCCTGTTGCTGCTGGAGTCTCAATGACAACTTTACCAAATGATCTGTCAGCAATGCCAACACTCAGCACCTCTACTCAGGAATCATCAGCACTTCCCCAGAACCAACATGCCACAAGCATGGAGACCACCAGCCAACATGAAACCAGCACCCTCACAGAGGTAACCACGTCAACTCTTTCCTCTACCACAACTGGACACACTCTGACACACACAGTTTCTCAACGGACTTCATCTCCCGATGGAACAACCACCCCACCTGATTCCAGTGTCAGCAGCACACCCCCACCCACATCAGAGGTGCTCATTTCAACACCCTCCACAGACTCCACTCAGGGTAACACAGGGAACACAATTTCCATGATTACTGAAAGATCCACACTATTCACTACAGGAGTCCCAATACCAGCTTCACCAAATGAACTCTCAACGGTGACAACACCCAGAACTTCTACTCAGGAATCATCAACAGTTCCTCAGAACCAACACACTGAAAACATACAGACCACCAGCAGTCCCCAAAGCAGCACCCCCACAGAGGCCACCACCTCCACTCTTTCATCCTCCTCAAGTGGACTCCTTCTGACACACACCGTGTCTCAGGGGATGTCATCTCCAGGTGAAACAACCACCCCATTAACTTCCAATGTCAACAACACACCCCCATCCACATCAGAAGTCTTCTCCACAACACCCT